AACAGATTTGCAAATTTTAATGCTCAGCAAACATTTTCTTTTTTCCATTTTAAATCTTTTTTGCTAACTTTAAGATGAACTATTATTATTGGTAAAATTGAAAAAGATATGATATTATATAAAAATTTACTCATCAATACTTTACACTGTTCATCATGTTGATTAGACATCTTAAAATTCACTGTTTAACTTTTTCAAATAATAGTTGAATTTTTTTTAAGTATATATATTTTTTTCTTTTGCCATAATATCTGTCAATGCCGGATGAATTACTTTTCCTTTTTTCCTTCCTTTCTTAACAGAATTATGTACTATTCATGCACTTTAATCCAATTTTTTCCTCCATCTCTTCTTTTCAGCCAATTTATTCCTTACATGAACAATATTAGTTTCATTGAATTGTTCAACCATCTAAAATATTTTCTTCAAAGTTTTTCTTTTTTTCATTAATTTTTAAATTTTGGAATCAATGACTGGACTATTTCCGATAAATTTCTCTTTTTTCTGGATTATTTTTAATTAAACGTTTCATCTAATTGAACATTTTGATTATTTTTATCGCGACACTTTTATAATTTCATCAAATTTTTGTCCAAATTAAGGTTGAATCATGTTATTTGATGTATTGCTTGAAGTTGAATTAATGCTTGTCTAATGCTTCGCATTTGTTTTTGAAAAAAAAATTTCTAATTTTTGCAACAGGAATAATAATAATTATTATCAATTATTATGATCATTTTACTGATTTAGATCTTGTATCTTTATTTATTTTATTATAATCTATTTTTAAAATTTTTATGTTGCATATATGACAATAAATTTGTGTACCGAATTGAAATTATCAAATGTTATTACTACATCTTATAGAACTTGGCTCTGATGAACTGATAAGTTATCCAGATTAATAAACAAAACCCAATTCTCTACTCGTACTGATTTGTCTTTTTATTTATTTCCGAATTCTAATTTTATTTCAGTAAACAATTTTCTGTGTATGATATCTAAGGAATTGAAATGGAAACAAGTGTTACAGATAATAAGTGTTAAATGTGATTTATTTTTGAATCAAATATAATTAGTTATAAATAACCATAACAGTACAGTTAATTATGAATTCAATAATTGGTCACAAAATATGATTATTTTAGCAAAATTGTGAAATATCTTGCAAAAAAAAGAAAATGATGAATTGAATTCTTATAAGAATCAATGTTAAAGTTATAGCTGGAATTAATTAGCTAATTTATTTTGGAATTAGAAATTTATGGTATTGTAAGGAAATATTTATATACGCCTATTTTATAATATTGGAAAGGAAAAAAAAATGTACTCTCTCTAAATTTTAATAGTATTTAATAAAATTAAACATAAAATTATCATATCTCTCTCCATTACGTATTCTCTGAAAAATCTTACAGCTTAATTAATTATATATAATTAATATTGTAGTTTTTTGAATGATGGAATGAAAATTCTTTAACAAACGGTAATATGGTAATAAATGCAAAGAATACCGAGGAGACAACACTGGTAGCACAAGAAATTGAAAAATTTTGCTCAGGTAATCAATATTATTACTACTTGTTTAAAAAGATAAAGTGTAATTTTTGGGTTTAGTATTTTAACAAATTAATATTAAGCAATTAATGAAATGAATAAATGGCAAGAAATGAGTTATTATCGTAAATGATTAGCTTTGTTGAGTATTTTTTACAGAAAATTCGAAAGATGGAATCGCAGCATTGGAGCTTAGCGGTATTAGTCCTCGTGAGAAAAGCAAAATAATTAAATGTTGTATGATAAAAAAGCGTAAAGCAGCAATTCCTGTATATATTATAACGGGTATCTGCATATTACTGCTTATTAGCATTATTGGTAAGCTAATTTTAAATTCTAATTTAAATATTATTTTGTTCTACAAAAATAAACTTGAAATGCGTGAGAAAAATAACAGGAAATATTTTGAATACTCCAATAAACCAATTCATCTTTCAAATAATGAAATATTAAAATTCAATATTCATTCATTAATTTAATTATTTTTTCCACTTTGCATTGTGCATAATAATGGAAACGATTAACGCAAGAAATAGACTAAGTTTTCGGAGCAGAAAAGGACAGATTGGTCACAGTGAAGAAGATAAACAATATCATTTATCAATCATTTCTTACATTAATGAATTAAATACTACTTGGAAGGTTGGTACCTGGAATATTATCATTATCATTGTCATAACTAATTGTTATCCTTTATTCTCTTAACAATAAATGAAAATTCATCCTTTTGTTTCAATAAAAAATAAAAATTACAATTTTTGCTTTCTAAATGACAGGGGAAAGTTTATAAAAATAATTTTGTTTTAGGCTATTTATAATCGTTTTGCTTCTCGAGCAATAAATGAACACAAAATATCTGTATTGTTTCAAAGAAATAATGAGATAAGCCGGGAATATATTCTCGGTGATACAGTTGAGCATATAAAGGTATTTATTGTTTCAATACTATTTGCTTCTAATAAGCGATACCTGAAATATTCCTTAGCTGTCTCGTTATTGGTTATTAGTAATACCTGAAATGTTACTTGGCTATCGTCTAATTAACTAGTAATTTTTAATAATAAAAACCATCCGATTTTCCCTAATTATTTTCACGTTCAGTTATTAAAAAGTAAGAAATTACACTTGCCACAACAGTTCGATGCTCGTTTACAATGGCCTCTCTGTTGGTCCATTCATCAGGTAGCTAATCAAGGTGGATGTGGATCATGCTGGGTTAGTCTGTTGTCATTTGATAAACTTCATAGAATTGCTCTGATAACTGAAAAGTGATAAATTTAAGAAATCAAAAATCAAATTCACTCTAGTTTAGTTTTAATAGATCATAAGTGAATAATTTGTAAAATTAAATTTTCAAACTTAAATATGATAAAATTTAATTAAAATGTTTAAATTTTCATAGGGATGTGAAGTTTTAAAAATTATTTAAATCTTTCCCTTTTTAAGGCCGTATCAGCAGCATCTGTAATGTCTGATCGTTTATGTATAGCAACAAATTACAGCAATCAAAAGCAAATCTCTGCAGAAGATCTCATATCCTGCTGTGAGGAATGTGGAGGGTCAGTCTATTTTGGCTTAGTTTTAATTCCGGTCCTAAATCAAAAACTAATTAATGTTAATGAAAAGACTGAATTTCATAAAAGTTATTGCATTTTTCACATAAAAATAAACCTTTTAATCTATAAATGTTTGGATTTTTGGCTTATATGGCTATGAATGACGTTGATTGTATAGTATACTGTTTTCAAAATTTACAAATTAGCTAACATTTTCTAACTATCGGCTACTTTGTATTAAAATTTTTTTCCTTCTTTATTTCACTTGATAAATGTGCTATATTTTTAAAAGATGCGAAGGATCGCATTGGGCATTGTCAGCGTTCATTTATTGGCGAAACTCTGGCCTCGTAACAGGTTGATCATTTGTTGAATACTGCTTAATTATAGTTTTCATTTACTACTTATTTTATCTTTAATACAGTATAACATAATTGAACATATAGGATTGAAATTACAGGTGGTAATTACGGAAGTTTCGAAGGTTGTAAACCATATGCTACTGTACCAAATTGTGGTAGTCCATGCTCATTTGAATACTATCGAAAGAAAGTAACACAAGTTTGTCAAAAAACTTGTCAACCACTTTACGGTCTCACCTATGAAGAAGATCTTATCAGCAGTATATCATTTATTACTAATTATTAATTATTTATTATTTATTATTTATTTATTATTTATTATTATTATTATTATTACTGTCAATTATTATTATTTCCTTGTTGTTGCTGGCATTATTACTATTTCTTATTATTATTACACTTGTTACAAGTTTTAACAGTTGCTAAGTTATAACTCATTTTGCAAAGTAAATAAATAATCAGCTTATTTAATTGGGAAGAAAAATTCCAGGGAATCAGAAAGGAAATGTTGAAATGATAATCATTTTTGCGAAGTAGAACAAGCAATCAAAATTACCAGTTTACTTGACAAAATTAAAAGTCAATTCGAGCTACTTCTTCTGCCGCAAATTAGAATTAATTAAATTTTAAATAATTAAATTGATGATATGTATTTTTTGGAAAACAAATTTGAATTTTCCAATTTCTTTTATTTACTAATCAATTTTTCTTTTATGCGACTAAACAATAACGAATTATTATTTGAAGATCTTTAATCAAATTTAGTCAATGCTCATTTATTATTTTTGTTCCTTTCACAAAATTCTTTTTTTTTTAATTTCAAGTTTTTACTCTTCTAACTGTGAGATATGCATATGCATATATTTGACATACGACCTCTCTCTGTAATGTATGTTATACAATATGAAAGTATATAAATATTTGCATCGGTAACATAATTTAATAATTTGAAATGAAAAAATGAGTTGAAATTTATATACTTCTCAAAACATTCCTAATTTGAGTGACAAGGGATTCTTAATTTAAAGTGAATTTTAAATAATCATTAGCCAATTCTTCCTTTCACCCATAAAATCTTGTTTACTTATCGAAATTGTATTATAACATTTGTTTACAATCTGAATTAGGATCTCAACTTGCGTATAAATAAAAGTGAAATGGATTGCTTCTTGAGGAGTTCCTTATTGAAGCAAATTTCATTCATATTCATTCCTCAAAATTATTTGTTTAGATTGAAAGGAAGGACTAAAATAAAATAGACGACATTAATATTATCGTTTTAACAAATGTCAAGATTTTGAAACTGTAAAATTGTTGACGCTGTCAACATTTTCACATCTTTTGTGTATTGAGAACTTTTATTTGAGGAGCTAAAAAAATAGAAAACTTTCAGACTAGTTTTTTCAAAAAATTCAAGGTTTTTTGAATATCTAACACTTTCAAATTCCACATTTTTTTATTACAATACACTTTTCATAATGACTTTTTTCAATGTTACTTGTTGGAAAGAAGAATATTAACCTATCTGTGAGAGTAATACAATAATAATATAAGAAAAATAATGACAGAATAAAAAATTAATGAAATGTTAACTTTGATTGTTTTTAGCTATTGTTAAAATCGAAAAGATTTTCAACAAACTAACTGAATATTGAAGATATTTCATATCATATCATATCATATCATTTTGAATATTGAAAATATTTAATTTGATACCGAAACGGTTTCAATAAACTAATTGAATATTGCAAATTTTATGTCATGGAAAAAATCTCAATAAATTAAATGAATACTGAAAATTTAATATCATTTTAGCAAAAAAAAAAATTGTCATTTGGTTTTTCTTTCATTTTTAAAGTGTTTATTTGGTATGAAAAAAAAAGAGGAAGACCAGCCGACCATCAAAATAATTTTGATATGTGATTTTTGAATTGAAAAGAAATCAATCAAACTACAAATTTTTGCATGCTATAGAAATATATGGAGGACAATGACATTTCAATCTGTCATTGATCAAAAGTGATGTTTAATCTTTTCGCTCTATCATTCGTCATTTAATTTTTGCATTCAAATTCAATGAGGAAAACTAAGTTTTCATTTCTTTTTTCCTTTTCTTACACCAGTCCTTTCTCAACTAAAATAGATTTATATTTCGGAGGAGAGGAAAGAAAAATGTTCAACAATATTTCGAAAAAGAACGAAAAAAATTTTTTACGAAATAAACTTCAGTTTTCTTATCGTTCAATAACACGCAACAATATAACAAAAAAAAAAAACTTGATAAAATGCCTTTCTTTTCTTTTCTAAAATAGAAAAAAAAGCGTAACTGTTACACAACAAAGTTCCATTAATTTATTGAAATCTTTTCCATTAATTTATTGAAAACCATTTCAATTTTAATAATAAATAAAATTATTAAAGTGAATATTTTAGTAATTTTCTATTCGTTATTCTGTCTTCAAATAAAAAAAAAGAAAAGAAAAGAATTTCTCATCGTATTATTATTGTTTAATTAGAGAAAATATACACTAATCAGTAATTTCAACCAATTAAACTGCTAATTAATATATGTGAGATAATGTCTTTTTTTTTGCGGCAGATTATTATAATATAGAAATTGTAAATCTTCTTAAATGTAAATATGGCACTCGATAGTGTTGTAATGATCGTTCCATATTTTTTAAATAAAATTCAATCGATCATTTTTTTTCCAACTATTCATATTTAATTCACTATTTTAATATTACTTTATTGATTTATAATATAATATAATGTAAATGCTAGTTTTTTTTTTTCAGAGTATCGATTTATCCCGGAACATTCCGGAAGTACACGACCGATTAACTTAGCATGTTTAAGTTAGAGCATTTTATTTAATTTACTTGATTTATAACGGAAAATTTATGAGTGAAGAAAAAATAAAAGAAAAAAATTACGCCAAATGACAATTTTTGTAATTTTGCTCTCAACGATTAGAAGAAAAAGGCGGAGATAAAATGGGTGTAATTTAAAAAGAGGCGCAAAAGATAACATCAAATTATCATCTATCCTATCTCATCATTAAATATTTCGCTTAAAATTTACCCTTCTTCTCTTTCAATAAAGCTTTGTTTGTCAATAAATAGCGGTGAGAGAAGGAGAGAGAGAGAGAGAGAGAGAGAGGAAGAGGGAGAGAAGAGAGAGAGAACAATGTAATCGGGTCGGGTTACATTAAATCAGATTTATTCGAATCCCTTTGTCATTTGTATCAAATTGGATGCCATTTCATTTCTTTTTTTTTTTTTGTTTGAATTTCTACTTATAAAATTATTTCGTTTGCTTCATTTCACGTTTTAAAACATTAAAAAAAGGGATATTTTTGTGATTTTTACGTTTTGCTTTTTTTTAATTATTTGAATTTCCAATGTGAAATTTAATCGATTTTTGAAGATTGTTAATTAGTACTATAATCGCTTTTTAATTATATGAGATGAGATGAAAAAAGATGGAAGAGAATATTAAAAAATATGTGTATATATAATATATTGTTTATAGTATAAAAAAAAAAAGAATTCAGATTAACATTTTGATTTTATGAATTATTCCAAACGATATTTTCCACATGATTTATTATTGTACGAAAATTATAATCTGTTAAATAAAACTCAAACAGTGAAAGTGAGAGAGAAAAAAAGGAAAGAGAAGGGAAGAGATGAGGAAGGGAAAGAGTTAATTTGAAGTGAAAGTGAAATATAATTTCATTGAAATAAATATTCCAATATATTCATAGGTAAAACAACAGCTTCCATAAAAATATTCATGAAAAACATCGTTTTAGTATGACTTCATGTCATTTTTTATTACTCAATTACCACGAATTATTTGCTTATTAATGTTTATTTACTAAATGATATGAATGTGAAATGAAAAATAGGGGAAAAAAATGAAAAATTTGACAATTTATATCAATTACATTTTCATTATTAACACATATTTATCATTTCAGATATTTACCTGTCTAATTTATCATTACCAAAAAAAACTAAGGATACTTATTACTCACATTTGCTACTCAATCTAATAACTTTATTGACTGTTGATTAACTGATTGACTGATAATGAAAGTTAGAATGAAAAAGGAATCTTATCAACAACGATGGCGGCATTATCATAAGCAGAAATATTATGATGATTGCAATAAATATTTTGGAAAAAATTATTTGAAACGAATGCATTGGTTAATGCTAATGGAAATAATATTACAGAAGGAGAAAGATCTTGAACTTGCTGCTAAAATTGGACAATCGTTATTTCAACAAAATAAGGAACTACAAAATAGGTAGTTTATTCTAGCAATTAATTTTTTTTCTGAATTTTTAAATTTTCATTTTAAAAGAATTCGTAGAATAAGTGTTAAAATATCTTTCAACAACTTTTGTGATGATGTCATTTCACTTTACTTATTAATTAACCATTTAATTCTCTCAGAATTATTTATTTCAAATTATGTTCACCTCAGCAATTTAGATTTTATCATTACATTTACTTACTAAGAAATTAACGAAAAAAAGAAAGAATTTTTTCGGGGAAGCAGAAAAAAAGATAAGAAATTTGATTTCTTTTTTTTTGAAATTATAGAAATGAATTTTTGGAAGAATCACTGAATGTATCCAATGATATGATTACACAACTACGGCATACTTTACAAACGCGATCAAATCTTTTACGTTCTTATACTGATTATGATGATAGTGATTTGGATCGATATACATCAGGGTTTGTTTTTTCATTTTTTTCCATCTGTTAGATTTCAATTTATTAAATGAAATGTAACTTTTACCTATTTATGAATTTTACCACTGAAAAGAAAAAACAAAATTTAGTGTGGAAAAATTTATAAAATCTTTTAAAATAATTTATCTTTCTTTCAATGTGAATTTAATTTTTTCTCGCACAGTTGAATGCAATGGATAAAATTGATGAAACCATTATATATTATCTAATAAGAACTAGAATAATTAGATAATTAAGGATGATAATAAAAGAATATGAATCATATTTTTTTAATTTCCTTATTTTTTTCTTTTTTTGCACGAAACATTTTGTTTCGCATGAAAAATTAAAATTAACGATATGATCTTTAAACGATTTTAACGAATCAAAATTTGCTATATATAAAATTTGATAAAGTAAGTCTGTTGAGTCATAAATTTAATTGTGCATTGTACTTTTTGACAGTTTGAGTGGAAGGTTAAATTTAAAGTGGCGAAAAAAAAGTTAGTTAATAGTAATTTTAATTTGATAATTACTTTTTCACCATTTGAATGTTGAACATTTTGGCAGATATTTTGCGTGAAATTATTATTCTGATGTCATTGATGCCAATTCAAAATGATAATTTCATGTGATTGTATTCTTAATTTTGCTTCCACTGTAGAAATCATCAAACTAAAGAGATGCCATTATTTAACAATTTCAAAATGAGTTCAAATACATCATCAAATACGAGAATTGATCACAACGTATAAAATTGTGTACTACTGCCATAATTAAAACATTAAATCAAACTGAAACTTGATAAATTTTTGCAGGCAATCAAATAGCGAAAATTTACAGCGAAAAATTAAAAAATTGGAAGACGACAAGCAGAGTTTGAAAAATGAGGTATGTTAGAATTTTAATGCATCTTTAAAATGACTTTTAAAATGAGCTATAGATTATGAAGTTTTCGAATCAGATTACAATTCCTATTTTATAGTACAATAAAGAAATTGTCCTCTTGTAAATTATTTAATATTTAAGTCGTATAGTTCAAAAATTCCATAAATGAACTGGTTATTTATGAAATTTTGTCTATGAGCAATTTTTTTCCCCTCCTTATATGATTATATCAAAAAGCATACTAATATGTATATATATTTTTTAATTTATTAATAAAATTTTGCAGTCAACAAATTTGAAGAAAATTTTATCTGAATTAGAAGAAAATGAAAGAGTACGTATTTCGGAATGGACAAAACAATTAGATACTGCCAATGAGAAGGTAATTTTTTCCAACAACCATCAGTTTAAAATTATGATTCTTTATTACACTAAATAATAGAGTGAGAAATAATATGAAAAAAATATCAGAGAAGTTATTATTACTTTTTGATTATTTATTTACTTACTTATTTGTTATAACGTTTCATTACTTATTATTATTGTTTTACACAACCATAAATACAAAAATGAAAAAGAATTTCCAATAAAAATTGAAAGAAAAACAAAATCAATGAAACAATTAACTGCTAATGTTTGAGAATAAAAACGAGTTTATTATTTCATTATAATACTGGAAAACTTTATCAATCCATGATTACATGTATATTTAATTTTAAATAAAAATCAATGTGAACGCTCTATTGGCTTCTGAATAAAACAAAAAAAGTTTTTCCTTTTACTTTTTCAGATTTGTCGCTTGCAACATTTGCTTGCTGAAAAGACGAAAGAGTGCGCAATTCAAAGTATTGATGTGGAAAGATTTCTTCGAGAAATTGCCGTTCAATCAAGTCGTGAAAAAGTGGTACGTCGATAATCAGCTAATTTTATTTTTATTTTTTTGATATGTAATCTCTTCAATTCTTACATGTAACATGAGATTTTCGTAAAACCTTTGATTAAATTTAGTTTTTGAAAAGAGTCAATTTATTTTACATGATAAGGAGAGTGCGTATTTGTTACGATAGAGGATAAATTTTAGAGGATAAAGAGGATAATAAAGAGGACAAAAAAAAATATGGAGGATAAATTTTCATTTTATTTCAGCTAGTAAATGAAAATGTCGACTTAAAGCAAAAATTGCAAGATATGCTAGCAGTGCATGAGGAACTTACCGTACAAGTGGCTGACTTACAAGAACGATATGCAGAAGTGATAGCAATGTTGCGTGATGCTGAAGAAGAGTTAAGGACATATCGACAGAATCAATGCGCTTATAGGTGACATCTAATTTTTCTTTTGAAGTTTTACAAAAAATTAACAGATATATTGAGCTAATCAATTTAAACATTTCATTATTAAAATGTAAAAAAATAGTGGTTAGAATGAAAATTATCAGAG